TTCTTGATATTACTTTAGCAGGTCCGGGAGGTGAGATAACTGTGTTTTCTCCTTTGTAGATATCTGTCCAGTTTTTCATGATTCGGATGAAAGTGCAGCTTTCTCTGCAGATTGATGATTTCTTGAAAAATTGAGAGAGGAAAAATATTTAAGGTCTTTTGGAAAAGTGAGAGCCGAGCTAAGGTAGAATGAAGTACTTACACATTTTTTATTGCAGTCATCTAGCGACAGGAAAAGTTGATCGCAAGGCTGTTTGCACTGTAGGCAAGACACAGACACACAGTAAAATCACGCTTAATGTGTTAGATACAGACACCCAAAGAATTAAGACATCCACTGGACACCGACATAATACACCAACACGATACACCAACACAATACAACAACACAATACACCAACATAATACACCAACACAATACACCAACATAATACACTAACACAATACACCAACACAATACACCAACATAATACACCAACATAATACTCATACTAAAGCCCATACTCACTTGTAAACATAATTGGCTTGTGCAGTAGGAATCGTTGAGACTTTGTTTACCAACCTAGTGAAAATTATAATCGAACAATTATTCTTTTTCCTTACTAAAGGAACAAATAGATTGGTTATAAGTGCGATAATCCATGCAAAAAGCTATCAGGAAAATAGTTTATGGATTGAAAAATCCAGAATATGAAAAACAAGAAATCCACGAAAAAATAGACACCTAAAGTTTCCTTCGAAATTCGAAATGCAATCGAGGTACCGCGATATTGAGTAACAGTTACTACGCCAGTGGATCACATTACTGTACAAAACCTTAATATAAGAGCAAGTGACGTCAAATTCGTATGAATTGCGATATGAAAATGTGAAAAATTGRAATTGTTCGTTTCTTTATGAATAAGAATGTCGAAAAAAATGAACTTTTAGACAAAACAAGAAGCCCATTGGTTGATGTTATACTATGTTATAAATTAGATCAATATTGAACGTCATCTTCATCACGGTAAAATATGTCCAACATTCACATGTCTCGAAACTAAGAAAGAGCTTCATTCACAGGAAATAGTGGACTCAAACAGAATATGAAGACAGCGTCTTCTCGATTCAATTTACAACTAGCTGAWAGACTTCGTGCCCTAAAAAAACGTTAAAATACATTTCAAAAATTGCGGAACACTTTTTCACGGAACTAAACTCACGGGACCGTTAAATATCATTAGTTTAGCTTGCGGTTTACGCGAGGATGATATGTCAATTGCTTTGTACAAAAATAGTTACAAGGAAAAAATATCAAACACGGAAGAAATCATATAAGGAAAGTTTGATGAAATCACATACATAGTAAAGGATTTGTCAAACATAAATAACCAAGAAAAAAAGTAGGAAACAAGAACTAAGAAAAGGCTACAAAATCGTTGTTCAAATAGCAGCTAAATCATAGTTATGCTTGGGAATAAAACACTAGATYAGCAGTACTTTAGCAATACTTACTAAAGTCAGACAGTTTGCATAGCATCGTGCCTTTTCGACGGTTGGTCGATGGTCAAACACTCCACAATAGACAGATACCCAAAGRTTAACTARGACGATGTATATGAAACCTATTCCAGTCATCTTAGCGTGCTCCCATCCCTTCATTGAGAAGTACTGTGGTTTAAGKCAAACGGAGCTTTCAGTTGATTGCACCCTGTGACGTAAGAAAGAACTATTTATAGATTCATTTGTAAATCGTTTATGACTTATAATAATAGAATTGCAATTTTACGTAGTATACTTTCTTATAATTCTAAATAATGTTTTAATAATGCTAATTGAGTTTAAGAGAGGTTAAGCTACGCTGTAGCTTTGGTGATATACTATTTTCGTTTCAATCTTCAAATTTCAAACGCAAATGCATACTAATGCAAGTTTATTTGCATGCATGCATGTTGTATAGTCTCATTTCCTTTGACACAAGCCGTGTTTAAGTTGTATAAGTGAAGTGRAGGATTCAGTTTCCAATATCCTGTCCGATCAACTCAAGTTCTTTTTAATTTTAAAATAAGTAATAACTAAAGCCCAATGTTGACCATCATTTCAACTAGGTATCCCAGCATTTATTATTAGCAAAAACGCGGAGTAACTGAATGATATGAATATGAAYGTGAATTCATTCTAAAATCTCAGCTAAATCCTACAAAATAGTTGYATGTATACCTTCTTACTAGAGAAGCTAGCTTATGAAAGATGACAGAACTTTAGTTACGTCCACTTAACTGCAATAATCTTCTTCCAATGCATGTGTCCTCCTCAATCTTTTCCTTGCCCGCGCTCTGGCTGCCCCCGACATCTAACTTGCACTTCAATAGTTTAGCTCATACATAATAAGCGATTCCCACCAAACTAATCGAATCTGACAGCAAATTATATCAATAGGGACTTGAAAACGGTCGGAAACAGCAAAGCTTGTCATGGAGGCACTTTTACGAGAACATTTGGCAACGACGATGAAAGCTTCTGATATCAGCTGTCTTGATTGTTAATTAAGGATAATTTATGACCATTGAGTATTCGGTTGACAAGTTTAAGTTCTTCAGTGGCACGCCGGTGGTTTTGAAGTGTTTGTAACATGACTAAAATTAACTTTTTGTAGCCAAAACATTTTCCTTTAATAATCGAGATTCCTTTCGTAAATACAACCTATGATTGAAGTGTTGGGTTTCGCTACTCTAGAAAAAAAAAAACTAATGTCCTATCTAACAACTCTTTAAGCGGTGGAAAACAAGGTGGGAGAGGAGCCTGCGGTTTTGAGCCATGCGAGCAAAATCGGGCAACAAATCAAAATTTGTACTTTTTGAGCTTGTTTATCTTTTTGTCAGGAGAATAATTGTTATCAGGAAAATAATTTTTGTTTGTGAAAGAGGTCATACTTTTGACATGACTTGATACAATTGCCTATTTAAGGACTGCAGCAAAGACGTTGCCCGCTTTGGTTTTAAGCGAGAAAGGTATATAACCTAACACAATGCAATCTTATATAAGCTCTACAACTATACTTATTACTTCCAAAAGTACAAAGAAAAAAAATAATATACATAAATTAAAATAAAATTGAAAATCACATAAAACACATGGGACGATTTCGTAGTTATACAGCCTAATCCAGACAAGCGTGAAGTTGGAAGAAGAGTGATGGTAGGGAAAGCGCGAGCCGGAGGCGAGTCTGCTTGCCACAATCATAGAAAGAATAATGGCGATGCAGATAGCTAAGACGCGTGCGTAATAAGTTACGTTGGATATTTGTAGAATGCCAAGGAAAATCTTAGAATGAATTTATGACCATCATTAACTTTATGCCTTTACTCTTTKTGATAATATTGGTTTAAAACGAGAACCTTGGTTTTTCAAAATATTAGCTGTTTACGTGAGATATTACTTTTTAGTYCRTTAAGTCCGATATGATAGTCGTACTTGAAGGTTTATAAARATAACCACGWTATAACGTCATAACRAACATGTCAATCAAATCACGAGTTATGTGARCATATCACGTGATCATTTATAAAGAATAAAAACAACTTTAGAGTATGCAATACAGTTTATTAAAATAAACTTAAAACACTGACATACAAAAAGCAGAACAATTAATCGATTAAAACTGATTTATACATGATATTTAACAGCTTAAGGTAAATGTAATTCCATCAAAAAATGTTTGCCATATAATTTGCATTTAATTATTTAATTCGACCAGACGAATGTCCGTCGCAACAGTTTCTCAAGTGTTATATCTATTCAAAAATTAACTTTGTTACTTGCTACTCGCAGCAGATTTACCACATTCTCGATTTATCATTACATTATTTTTTATAATTTATAATCACCCTTTACTTGTTAATTTTTGGAATTTAAATTATTGAATTCACATTGTCACTTTGCATAAGGACTTATTAAAAAGCCTGTTAAATGAAACATAAATGTCTGAACTGAAACTCTCTAAGCGACGAATTCATCTTTATATAAGTCTCTGGCTTATGGAGGGCGAAAGGTGCTCACGATTCAAGTTCCTTCCGAGAATATCTCGAAGTAGTTACGAGGACTTTCCGAAGATATCCCGAAAGTAAGGAGTAAGGATGGCTTAATTTATAATGCAAACCCTCTATTKTGACGTCTGTAGATCTGRAACTCAATATCGTTGAAGTCGAGGCTGGCGTATTTAATATTTTTAAGTTTASTTTTAGGTTGCTCAGTTGAGGGTTTACTTTGCTCGTTATCAATAAGATCAACATCCAATCCCATGACATGATCACTATTTACCGAAGCGTCGTTGTCCAATTCYAGGACCCAGGGGTCCCCTGATGGGGACACGTCACTGAACAGAAAATCACCCTCAGAATTCTTATCGCTTTCGTTGCTCTTGGTGATGAYTTGGATTTCGTCCTCCTTGGACGACGCCAYTCCACCAAATAAGTCTTCAATAATATCGTCATCGTCATCCGGTTCTGGGGCACTGTTGAATGACGGGACRTTATAGTAGTCACGTGATTCATCGACAGCGGAAGGGTCGAAGTAAGGATTGTCACGTGTCATCATTTCTTCAAGTTTTGAGCGCAAATCTTCAAACGTGGGTCGATCTTCAGGTAGCGCTCTCCAACAAGAACACATGATCTCATAACTGTACATAAAAAGAAAAAATATTCTTGTTAT